CACTCCAGTCTGGGCGACAGAGTGAGACTCCAACTCAAAAAAATAAAAAAAAATAAAACTAAAAAAAAAAACAGTCATAGAAAAGACCTCCTCTAGTTACGGGGAAAAGTAATTTACCCAATATCAATATCCCCAGCCAAAGGCAGGATCTGTCCTGGTTTGCTGAGCCCTGGGCCTCCACCCCACCCAGTGCAGCATCATGCTTAGGGAGAATGGGGCACCAGGTGGCATGGTGCCACGAGGTCCTGCCATCTCCACTGGTCCCTCTGCCCCTGGCACGTCATGGGGCCCTCTGGCCAGACTCTCCTTGTCTCTAGAGCCTTCTCTGGGGATAGGAGTGGGGGGAAAGGGTGGCTGTTCAGGGAGGATGGTTTGGGAACAGCTGGGTGACTTCCTGTATAGCCGCTCTCCTGTCCCTTCCTTTTGGGGGAGGCTGACAGGATAATGGATTTGAGTCCACACACCTGCCTCAACAAAGGGATTTTTTTTTTTTTTTTTTTGAGGCTCAAAGTCAATGGTGTATTAATTAAGGGGGAACAGCTGCTACCGCAGTTCTTATGATAAGTCAGTGACAAATGGCCGTGTTTACCTTTTTCCTGAGTTGAGACTCCGGAAAGTGGCCTGGAGCTCCTGGGTGCATGTCCCTGGCTGAGATTTGTGGGGTATATCTTCCCCTCCTCGCCCCTTGAAGCTTCTTTATCGAGGCCCACCGAGGGCTGTTTGTCATCCAGTGTAGACGGGCCTGCAGCCTGGGAGCGCTCGGCAGGGATCCGGGCAGAGCAAAGGGGGCTTCTCAGCAGCAGCTCCAGCCTCAAGTGGCCCAGACCTCCTCCACGGGCAACCCCCACCCCGCGCGGCCCCTGTGAAGCAGGGCTGCTTAAAGCGAAACGGGACCTTCAAAGCCGGGTAGGCTGCAGCAGGAGTGAGGCTGGGCCACGCCTCGGGCCTTTGTGCCCAGGGCTCGCTTTCTAGAGAGGAAGGAACGGCTGGCGGGGGCCTTTTGTTATTTAGTTTATTTTGATCTCACTCCGGCTCTCCAAACAGCTTCACAGAAACAGAGCCCGGCATTAGCTCTCTTCCCGCATAACAAAGTGCTGCCGAGGAGAGCCTCGCTGAGGAACTGAAAGGGAAGGACGCCTTGTTTTTTCCTGAGTTGCTTCTGGGTTCTTTGACCACAGTTGACGGGAGGATAACAGGTTGGTACTCACCGTGGACGGGGAAGGTGGCACAACAGGCCGCGGCACCCGGGACGCAGCAGGGCTGGCTGCCTGCTCCCCGGGGACTGACCTTGGGCCTGGCTGAATGTGGCGCCAGTCCTGAACGCCTGCGGCTTTCCCACAGGCTCTGTCCAGGCAGCTGGACCCCCACACGCCAGACTCACCGGTGGGCCACAGGGGTTCTCGCTAGTGGTTGGGTCCCTGAGGAAAGCGAAGTCGGCCTCCTTGGAAGCCCCCTCCAACCTCTCTGCTCCTCCTCCTCCCGGGGCTGCAGCTGAGCGCCCTAGAGGCTCTCCTCGGCTGCACTTTGTTATGCGGGAAGGGAGCGAATGCCGGGCTCTGTTTCCGTGAAGCTGTTTGGAGAGCTTCACAGCCCGGGGAGGAGGTGGAAGGCAGAAATGAGGGCCAAGGAAAGGCTGCACGTCAGTCCTGAGAGTTGCCATCCTATTCTGCAGCCGAGGGTCATCACCGCGTTACAATTGTGGGAACTGGCGAGGCCCTGTGGCTTGCCTGGGGACCGGTCACTATGCAGCGGAGGCCCAGCGGCAGGAAGACTGGACCTCCAGGAGGACCGGAGGCGGGTCCTGCCGTCTCTCCCGGACCGAGTGCTCAAGAACTCCACACACGGTCCCTCCCTAGACGGTGCTCTCCGGGGTGAGGGGAAAAGAACCACTGATGAGAAACATCCATTTAAAATAAATAGTTTATTCATCCAGCGGTTTAAACCCTGCTGCTGAAGCCTGTTGCGGTGTTTCTTCTTCCGCTGGAGCTGATTATGAGAACAGGCCTCGCCACGGGGCCAGCGCTGATTCCGGCCCCGCTATCACCCAAGACAAGGGAGGAAATGAGAGTATTGCTCAGATGAGGGAGACTGGAGCTTTATTAAGGAGACAAAATGCCAGTGAGACCAGAGAGGGCTGGTTAACGCGTTCTGGAGGCAGCCGCAGCGTCTCCCGCCGCTCCCCCTCCTGCCCCTGCAGATGCGGGCACATGGGGAGAAGCTCTCGCTCCAACTAAGAAGGCCCCCCGCCGGCCTGGAGCCGACCTCCCGGGAGGGAAGCCGGCGAGGAGCCGCGGGAAGGCCCGGCGGGCG